AACCGAAAAGCCAGAATTCGGTGCACGCAACCTAGCTCGGTGCTATAACTATAATAAAATATAGGAAAGCACCTAGCCTAGGAAATCAAGCAATTCATGCATGCATATAATTATCCTATGCTAGAAATAGCATGATAAAGTAAAGGCAAGCAAGCATAGCTGGCATAAGCCGTCGTACTCTCACACGTCCCCCCCTCAAAGCTGGGTGGCGTGAGATACACCCTGCTTGACAAGATAGTCCTTGAGAGCACGGCGTGCGTTGCCCATATCAGCTTCTGCAACCCAACTGTCCTCAGTGGGGTCATATCCCTTCCAGCGGATCAGGAACTCGAGGGTCTTGCCGCCGCGGCGCCGATGAGTGAGAACACGTTCCACTTCGTACTCGGGTTCATCCTGTATAAGAACAGGTGGTGGTGGCGGTAGCTGGCGTCCCTGGAACTGTTGGTTGGGGTCCTTGTAGGGCTTTAGTAGCTGAACATGGAAAGCGTTGTGAAGCTTCCATGTATTTGGTAAGCGCAAGCGGAATGTAACTGGTGTCACCTGTGCCTCAATGAGAAAAGGACCACAGAAGCGAGGCCGGAGTTTGGATGGGAGGTGAGACAGGTTCAAGTTGCGCGTGTCAAGAAGCACCTGATGTCCGTCTGCTACTGAGTGATCTCGTCGCTGGCGATCGGCATACTACTTCTGGGAGTTCTGCATCGTGGTGAGACGTCGCTGAGTCTTCTCCCATAGCTGCTGCATGGTGGTGACGAAATCATATGCGGCTTGGACGTGTGCCGGTGTGGTTGGCTGCTGTGGTGTAAGTGGTTCCCGTCCGTAACACAGGAAGAAAGGAGTTTTCCCTGTGGCCGCATGTGACGCGTTGTTGTAAGCGAACTCTAGGGTCGGTAACTGTGTGTCCCAGTGGCTGACGTCGTCTTTGCAAGCTGTGCGCAGTAACTGTTCAACCACCTGATTGAGTCGCTCTGTCTGTCCATCAGTCAAAAAGATTTTGCATGTCTGTCTCCAAAGTTGACTCCTCCCTCCTCGTGACGCAGGAGCCGGTCATGCCAGGTGAAAGTGTCCAGACCTAGCGGGAGATCTGCTGCACGCACCATCAGCTCCCTTTTTAGCTGATCGACCTCCATCATCAGCATACCTACCCGCCTGGCGGCCAGGCACGCAAGTGATACGCTCGGGTCATGAACTCCCAGCTCGCCGTCCAGCCTCGGGGTGTAGAGTAACTCTTTGCTCCATAACAGGAAAACCTTTGTCGGCGTTGCCTTATTGCCCGGGACAAAATTATGTATTAACCTTTCCAGCTTCTTCCATATATTTGCAGGTGGCGAATACACCTGCGCCTGAAAAGTCATCACCAACTGGATATATTGGTTTGCAACTGCCCCTCTCGCCTTCTCGGTGAGAAACTTCTACTTCCATCGTGCCAAACACTTGATAATCTCCTCCCATGCCTTCTCCCATGTGGGGAGGCCGCTGCCGTCTGGAGTTACCCATACCCTCAGTAGCCTCTATGCCTCCTACGGCTTCGCCCATTTAAAATCTCCTCCGTCCGATGCTCCGAGGTTTAGACCCAAAGGTAGTACCACCATTTTTGCTTTGTTTGTCGCGAGATCGGACTGCTGCTCAAACTCGTCTAATAGTTTCTCTGCCCTGTCGATCTGCTCCTTCCCCTGCATGGCCAAGGTTGTGTCATCTTCGTATCCGAGATATGCCAAACGTTGTCTAGTGATATCCAACCCCAGCTGACTCCTTTCAACTTCTGCACCAGGGGCTCCATATCACAGAGGAATAGGTATGGTGCTAGTGGGCAGCCCTGACGCACCCCAGACACCACCTCAATGCCGTCTCCCAGCCAGCCGTTGATCAGGATTTTCGTCATTGTCTATGCATGCAGGCCTTTGACCCACGACACAAACTGCACCGGAAAACCCATGCGCTCCAGTACGTGAAAGATGAAGCCATATGACACTGAGTCGAAGGCTTTCTGTAAGTTGACGAACAGTAGATACCAGTCTTCATTGCCGTTTTTCGCTGCGTCGATAATGTCTGCTACCAAAGCAACCGCATCGGTGAGCCTTTTCCCTAGGATGAAACCGTATTGCTTCGGCGAAATCACCTGGTGCAACACCTTTTTCAGTCGGTCTGCCATTACTTTAGCCAGTATCTTGTACGTGAAGTTGAGCAGGGTTATCGCCCGGTAATTGCATAACTGATCCCTGTCGCCCCATTTGTGCATGAGGATAGTAATCGCCTCCTAAACTTCCCCAGGGAGTGCCACGGAGGCCGTGAAATCCCTGACCAGCGCCATGAAACTCCCGCCGAGAAGATCCCAGTTTGCTTCAAAGAACTCTTTTGGCAGTCCATCGTTCCCAGGCGATAATTTTTTTGCCAGGAAGCAAAGGCCTCTTTGACTTCTCCTTCCGTCCAATCTGCAGCAAGCCCCTCTACATTGCCAGGCTGCAATTTCCTGCTCGGGTCCGGGTCCCACGCCATGCTGTCTGTCCATCTGTCCCTTCCGAAAAACTCTTTGAAGTAGTCTGAAGCGGCCGCAAATACTTTCCGTGAGTCGGACACTGTTCTCCCCGACACTTTCACCTCTGCGATTCGTGTGCAACTTTTCCTCGCCTTAATCTGCTCTGATAGCTGCTTCGATGAGATCTTGCTGGTAAGCTCAATGTCCAAACTGGCCATCAGATGCATGCGCTCCTGCCTCCATGCAAGGTAATCTTACATCGTCGCCTCATTTTCCGACAAGAGCGACCTCAGCCGATCACACTTCGGGTTTCCCATGACTTCCTACTTTAAAGTAGCTACGGCTGATACCAAGTGGGTGAATGTGGCCCTCACCCTCTTGTCTTTTTGTCTTCTGTAACAGCGAAGCCGTGTGTTGAGCCTGGTGATTGACTCGTCTGTCCATCCGTGTCTGTCAGGTTACTCAGCATCTCCTCTATGATCCGTCTTACTCCCGGCCTGTTTGAGAGAGCTGCGTCTTGTCTCCAGATAACTGGGCCAAGTCGGGCTCTGTCGTCTACCTTGAGCTTTACCTCAATCGCGAAACCATGGTCTGAGATATGTTCTTTCGGTGAAACGTGTGCAGAATCAACTAAGTACGGTAAGAGAGACATGGATAGTAAGGCTCTGTCAATCCTGGAACTTTCTCTTTGGGCGGTGGAGTAGAAGGTGTATTCTCTTCCTTGGGTAAAGCGTGCGGTATGTTGGAAAGCCATGCACCGCTTATAGAGTCTATCATTCTCTGAAGAAGTTCCTAGTCCTAAAGTCTTATCTAAGGCCGGGTCTTTGATTATGTTCAAGTTACTGATGATGAGAAAATTGGAGCCTGGCGGAACCTGATATACTACTGGTCCGAGGGTGTTAAGTATAGAGGGTGTTCTAGCTGTGGGGCTTGATGGAAAATAAGCTGCTATCGGGGTAAGTTGAATGCCGGAACCGTCAACTAAAGTGCTAATGATTCTACCGGAAGGGTGCGGTCTAATGTCTGAGAAATGTAAGTTGGGGTTTTTGCTAATGATTGCGACACTGCCTGCTTTAGCTCTAGGAGAGGCGGCTGCTACTGTGGTGAATCATGCTAAGGTACAGAAGGTATGGGTGCTGCTAGTATAGTGTCTAATAGAATTGCTAAATGATAACCTTGTCTTGTTTTGTTATGTCTCCCATGCCGTTGACATTAAGGCCTGCACAGGTGATGATGTTTTTCTTGTAAATCATTTAAACACTGACTTGCAACCCCTACACATCCACAGGCTGAGAAAGGAAAAATAACTGACTACGCTAACTACCAGACACACTCCCGCCGCTGTGAGAATTCTCCTTTTAAGATCTCGTACTGCTTCCTGACAGCAGCAAGCCTGAGCTTGTCGAGGGATGCCTTGGTGGCAGTTCCTGGCGTCTCCAGGTTGATAAGGTGAGCCGCTGAGGTGATGTGAGCCTTCGCTGTCATAAAGCACTTTCCGTGCGCTTTGTTGCACCCGCTCTGCCTGCACAGCCACTCCTCCCTGCTGCATCCGGTTGAGCTAAGTGCCAGAGTGGGGTATTGCAGGAGGGGGAGGACTAGCGTGGTGGCTTTCAGTGATGATGCTGCGAGATCGAAACATGAGGTTAGTAAGCGAAGGATGGAAGGTAAGAATCACTTTGCGATGCGTACGCTTTAAGCTTTCAGCCGATGCACTTTCCCAACCGTCAGATTCCAGTTCCGAACACTGTTTTGATGCTCTACGATGAAAGCATCATGAAACTTATCATAATGATGACCACCGCAAAGTGAGCAGGATAACGCGGGGTAGTGGATCAAGAGCATATTCGGCCGGTCAGCAGGATCAGGCATTGTGTGCAGCCAGCGGTGCTTGTCAACCAGGAAGACGTACACCAGTCCCTTAAAGCTTTCATATACATTTGAAAGTTGGAGTTTCAAAAGTTTTGAAATTTGAAAACGGGTTACCCTATTACAGCTCATTTCCCTCGTCCCACAAGGGAGATGATTCCTTCGACACCCCGCACCATCTCCTCCTCTGACTGCTGGTTCAAAAATTTTGAAACAACATAAGTATACGAAATACCTGCTTTCTCAGATCTAGGCCAGAACGTACGAATGGGATGGCAAGTACGTAGGTAAGCAGATCGCGATTCAACAACCAGCGCTAACTAACACCGTTTCCGACACAACTAGAAGTATAGAGTCATTACGCGTCCGCACCAACACGGGATCCGCCCTCTCACACTCGCCTCTCCCGCATCACACGCGTTCGACATTGAAACAGTGCTAGCTGCGCCCGCTAGCTTTCAAATGCGGCATCCCTCCACCTACCACTCTCGTTGCACCGCATCAAACCGCTGCTTGTGGCCTAGCCGGCGCAAGTTCTAGTGACCTCGCCCATCCAATCACAACGGACCTCCTTTCATTAGCCTTGCCTCGTTGTCCGTCGCGGCGTCGCGTTGCCTCACCTCGCTGCCTCCTCACAACACCTTGAACGCGCACGCTGCATATGAAACTGCCGAACAGCGGGATCTCGCACGATCACAGTCGCCTCCCGCTTGCGCAGCTTTGTTACCCCGTTTCCACAAGGTTTAGGCAGCCGCGCTTGAGGTCGCGACGGACTGCCAAAATGGCTGCCCCGTCAGCCAATTCTTCTCCTCATCCCAGCGCCTTCCCATCTCCCCTTTCCACCTCCCTATTTTGCCTGCATGGCTCCGTATCTCGCGTAAGTGCCTCCGAATCCCCACTTTCTGCCTTACGAGCTCCCTTTCTTGCCTCCCTGTTTTGATCTTCCCTTCCCTCTTTCCCCATTTCCCCTTGCCTTCCCGCATCCCCTATTCCCCTATTCCCGCATCCACCACCGCAATTCCCCTTCCCTTGTCCCGATTACCCCTTACCACCTCCCCGGTTTCCCTTCCCCGCCCCGCATTTCCCCTTTCCGCCTCCCCGATTCCCATTCCCGCTCCGAGTATCCCCTTTACACATTTGCGTTTCCCCGTCCCGCACCCCACTCCCCCTTCCCGCCTCCCCGTTTCCCATTCCTGCTCCCCGTTTCCCATTCCCGCTCCCCGTTTCCCATTCCCGCTCCCCGTTTCCTCTTCCCACATTCGTGTTTCCCCTTCATGGTCCCCATTACCCCTTCCCACCTCCCCGTTTCCCCTTCCCGCTCCCCGTTTCCTCTTCTCGCTCCCCGTTTCCCCATCCCACCTCCCCGTTTCCCCTTCCCGCTCCCCATTATCCCTACCCGCCTCCCCGTTTCCCCTTCTCGCCTCCTCGTTTTCCCTACCCGCCTCCCCGTTTCCCCTTTCCGCTCCACGTTTCCCGTTCCCACCTCCCCGTTTCCCCTTCTTGGCTCCTAACTTCCCTCATAAATGCCTCACTATCTCCCCAGCCAACCCACTTATCTCCATCTCAAGTCTCGCCATTCCGTGTGCAAGCCTCCCCATCCTTCATCCCCCCGGCTCCCTAAAATTGCCCCCTTCCCTTCTCCCTCTCCTTTCCCCCTCTCGTTTACCCCGCTTCCCCCTCTCATTACCCCTGCTTCTCCTTCTCATTTTCTCCCCTCCTCCCTCTCATTTCCCCTCATGCTCCCTCTCATGTCCCCCCTTTCCCCTTCTCATATTCCCTCATTCTCCCTCTCATTCCCCCCCCTTCTCAATCTGAGATCCCCTCTTTCTCCCTTTCTTTAACCCTCACGTGACCCCTCATTCCCCACCCCCCCCCCCTTCCCCCTCTCGCGTCCCCCCCATTCACCTGCTCATTTCCTCCCCTTCTCCCTCTCATTGCCCCCCATGCTCCCTCTCATGTCCCCCCTTTCTCCTTCTCATTTTTCGCCATTCTCCCTCTCATCCCCCCCCCACCCCCCCTTCTCAAGCTCACTTCCCCCCTTCCTCCCTCCCATTTCCCCGGATGTGCCCCCTCCTTCCCCCCCCCTTTTCCCCCTCTCGTTTCCCCCCCATTCACCTGCTCGTTTCCTCCCCTTCTCCCTCCTATTGCCCCACGTGCTCCCTCTCAACCCCCCTAAGGAATTCTCATATCCACCAGTTTTCCTATTCCCCTACCCCCCTTTTTCCTGCTCATTGCCCTCCCTTCACCTTCTCATTTCCCCCCGTTCTCCCCCTCATTCCCCCGTGCTCCCCCATCGCAAGCATGAACTGTACATTATCTCATGCCCTCATACCATTCTATGTGCACACGCATACACGCACACGGACAACAAGCCGAGTGGAAACCGTAGGTTGCACCTGTCAACTGGAGTTGTTTGTTGGCCCCGTCCTCGCTTGGGCGGAGCCGACTTCGTGGTCGGGTGTGCGGGAGGTGCAGCCGACCTGCAGCAGTGGGCGCCGACTTGGGAGGGCGCCAACTTCAGAAGGTCGACTTGGGAGGTCGACCTGATAGGGCGTCGACTTGATGACGCCGACCTAGTGGAGCCAACTTGGGTAGTCGACGAGCACATACAACTTCTGGTCAACTTTCCTCGAAAAAGTCGACGCCGACCTAGTGGTTTCCAGGTCGACCAAGTTACCCGGGCAACAAAGTTCTTCAAAGGCACGCGACAGTTGCCCAGGTGTTAGTGGTGAGGCGGACCTCGGTGTGGTATCCCGAGGTTGACGTGGTTTATCAGATTCAGTCATCAGCGCTAGGTTGATTTGGTGTGTGCGCTGTGCAAATGATAAGGCACGGCGTGCCAATCATCTGCGAGCACCTGCAAAGCAGGTGCACTGCTGTTCTACGGATGCAACGTTGGCACGCTGTCGACCTGCGACGTTGGCACGCCGTCGACTTGCAATGTTGGCAAGCCGCGACTTTGCACTGCTGGAGCGTGGTCGACCATGCTGCGCTAGCAGTCGACCTGCTTGCATGCTAGCTCTGATGTAGTCTTCTCTTGCCAACTTGATTGTATCATTGTTCTCGACATTTTCTAGTGAAACTCTTGCGGTTTTTGCCCCGTGAATGCACAAGTGCTAGAGAACGACTAAGGGAACGAACGCAGAGATCCCTCCTACCCCGTGCCTAGCCCGTAGTCTAGCTCCCGTTTATAGAGTTATCTCCGCAGCACCAGCAGAGGCGAGAAAGAGAAAGGAGAGGAGAGGAGAGAAGTACCAAGGAGGAGGTGAGAGAGAGATGAGGAGAGGAGGTGGGGGGAGGTCATTCGCGGCGAGCCCCACTTACGAACCCCCTTTTACGAAAGGGGAGGTGAGAGATGGATGAGGAGAAGAGGTGGGGGGGAGCCAGTCGCGGCGAACCCCTCTTACTAACCCCCAAATCCACACCCTCTTTCAGCCACCCCCCTAATCCTCAACCCCCCTGTTCAGCCCCCACCTGAAACCGCACCCCCCCCTTCCTTCCTCCAGGCCCTTCCCCACCCACAGTAGTCACTACATAATCCTTACCGCCACCCCCTCAACCCCCCCCCCCCCTTAACGACACATACGAGAGTGAGCGAGAGGAGGTGGAGGCGGGTGTGCTACTTCTCCTCACGGTGGCCAACCCCCCCACCCCCCGTCCCCACCACCTCCCCCCCTCCCCCAACAGCAGTCGCGGGAGGGAAGACGAAGGGCGAGGTGGCAGGGCTTGCAGGTTCTGTAGGCGCCGTTGGTGCGCGTGCTGTTGTTGGGGGGTCTGACGTCGGGCCTGTTGGCTTGATTGCTGGCGGGCTCGCAGGTCCGCTGGTTCACCTACTGGCGGGTCGGCGGGTCTGCTGGCTCGTTTGCTGGTGGGTCCTTTGGCGGGTTTGTTAGCAAGTTCACCGGCAGACTCGCTGGCGGGTCCATCGGCGGGTTCCCTGGCGAGTCCATTGGCGGGCTCGGTGGCGAGCCCGTCGGCGGCTTCGTCGGTGGGCCCGTTGACTCGCGCGTTGGCGAGTCCGTCCACCGGCTTGCTGGTGCGCGCACTGGCGGGTCCGACAGCGGACTTGCTGACGCTCGCGGCGACGGGTCCTCTGGCAGACTTGCTGACGAGCGCGCTACGGGGTTGTAGGCGTGCTCGCCATGGGCCGCGCACGCCATGGGAAAAATATAAAAGGACGACCAATGCTGCGGGCGGGAATGGTGCGCCCATTAACTTAGGTCTAGGAACTTAATCACTCAATACCATGTTGTGATAGCAACTTAGCTGGTAAAGGTGTTTAAAGGGGCCTTGGCTTAAAAGTCTAGGCCAAGCGGGTGCCGAGAGTGGCTTGACACAGAAGAATCGAGAATGATTCGGGTCTCATTATAGCACACAAGGTAGATATAGCAAAATGAACAAAGGTGCAGCACCAAACAATAGGAACTACATTACAATAAATCCTATAGGCAGTTATATAGCAGAACATACAATTATAATGTCTGACATGTATTTCTCTGGGCATCCAGTTGTCTTCCTTGCGGCATCGTCTTTGACATCCATGCGCTCGTCCTAGCAATCGGCCCATGGCAGGTAATCCGTCTCCGTCTTAGCTTGTGGCTCGTCGCCGTGCGTGGTGTGATCGGATGTCAAAGGTATGCGACTCGGCCGTCCTCTGGTGCGATGGCGATTGCATAATATACCATGTCTTTGCAGGGGAGCCTCTCGGATAAGGTTGCTGCTTAGCAGCTCTCGTCGCACTGGCGACGTGATCTGAAAACATCTGAGCGCGCTCCAATAGAAATGCCGGTTTTGCGCGTGTGCTAGAGAAGATACTTCACAAAGCGGATGACATGGTGTATAGGAGATTGCGCGGGAGACCCTCTCTCTTGTGCTCGCTCGGGTAAAGCTGGTACATTTTCACCTGTCGTATAACTACTAATCTCGCCAAATGTGTGTGAGGGCATGGCATCAGCCAATCAGGCAAAGGGTTGACGTCGAGGGGCGTGAAAGGGGTATTTGGGTAAGATGGCGTAATGAAGCTAACTGCGTCATGTGCCAAAGCCTGTGCCGCGCCTTATAGTGAATGCGTTCCCGTGGGTTGGTGCATGTTTCTATTGTGTACAGTTCTAAACACACCCATTTTGATACTTTTCCATATTATGTACTCCATGAGCTACAATATTGCACTGCTTTTTCTGCAAACTACAAAATCCAGCAGATCGTCGTCTCGGCGATTGAGATCATAGTTCTGACAGACTAGACAGTATAGCGGCAACATTGGTGCACCGACAAGAAGGTCCCATTGATACACGTATATGTTTTCCCCCATGTTTCCCCACCAAAACGCTCTACCCTCGGCTAGGATCTCCCACCACGCGAGCATGCCGAGTGCATGCAAGAATCGCCTTTACTGGTAGATCTTAGGCTGCTCGGTCTTGAACTGTCGATAGACGCGGCGAGCATATTCTGCGCGGTATAACTAGAAACGACCATGCTCAAGCCGCCCATAGGTACAGGACGGAGAGTCACAGACGCACGTCATAGGTTCCAACAACCTAAGCCCTACAGGTACTTACCACCAATCCCTCGCTCATAGCGAAATGCATTAGATATGTTTGGTAATCATGCACAGGCGACCTTGACGCAACAAGATATTGGAGGCTGGTTGCAGCGTAGTTTACTTTCCGATGCACATTTTGCAGGAGGCACAAAAACAAATTGGCATGCGTGTGTATAGCTTTGGAATCACGTGTGTCTCGCAGCACCGCGAATATACACGCTGCGTTGACGAACGACAGAGGCTCGCCTTGCTCGCCGCCCCACGCAGCCCGCAATGACTATTGCTTCTATTCTTTGTATTGTGGTGCGGATATCTTGGTCCGACACCAGATGCTCGACGCTATTGGCCAACTTGCGTGGTGTGGAAGATTCACCGTTGTCGACAATGCATGTGAACTCGACCTGCATCAGAACCGCCACAATCTCTGGAAAGTCGGGAGCAAGGACTGCAACTGACGGGGTCCAGGTGAGACAGTTGCGAGCCCGTAGCCACCTGGGACCAGCGTATCGGGTCGACTCATAGCGTCGACTACCGTCCCTAGCGCAGCGCCACACACGTGGCTCAGTTTCAGGGCTATCGGGTTTCTGAGACGCCATGGCCAGAAATTGAAAGCAACAATCTTGTCTCAGCTGGAGTATTGGACTTTGATGGACACGGCAGCAAACGCGGTTGGGAGATATTGGGAGAGCGCGACTTGGGTTGTTGGTGAATTTGCAAAATGGGCGAGTACGCACTAACGCAATTACGCTTGTCGGTTATAGTTAACCTTCACCATTGCAGCGACCCCTATCCACGTCAGCGTTCTTGCCAGTCTGTCTCCGTCATTGTTGTCCTCGGGATAGCTGTCAAGGGTTTGGGTAGATCCCCCTCACCCTGTTAACGACCAATGTGTACTCTGCATTAGCGGCATTTGATACAGTACTATTCCCTATCCTTGTCAAAAACTTACATGTCCAATAACCGTCGAGGTAGGCACATGTTTGGATTCGTTTTGATAACCTCGGCTGTATTGCTAGCACCTGGCATAAAGCAGCCTTGCACCCGTGCGCCTCTCCAACGATAATATACGAGTAGCTGCACGTGTCAGTAGAACATGGTTGGTCTCGCCAAGTGCACATCCTCATCAACAACAATCTCATTATACTGCCGGGGATTCACCTTCTGGGGTTACCAATGCCCCTGCAAGGGACGTTGTACGCCTGCAAGTGGTGATCAGATCGCTTTCGCTCTCGCACGACATTGTTTACTAACGAGCGTTGAAACGGAGCCTGCATGATCCGCGCGTCGCGCTTTATAAGG